GGGTCCAGGCATCAGCGGGAGCGAGCCTGCTCCTCTCTAGGGGCACCTGATGTTTTGCATGCCACAACCCCCTTGTCCTACAGCAGTTCCTTTTGACGGCCGTGTAGCCAAGCATCAGACAGGCAGAGGGACCTGCCCCAGATGGGAATGTTATGAAGCCTTTCCCGTTCCCAGGTTTCCTGCATCCTGGGCCAGGTGGATGCACACTTGCTGAGCGGCCTTGGGCAAAGGCCCACCCTCTCTGGGCCTCTGTTTCTTTGTGTCAAAAGCAGCTTGGGTGAAAGCAGTTCACGTGCAGGGCCCCTGGCAGGGAATGAGCTGGGTCAGACAGCCCTCGCTCTGCTCCGGGCACCCTGGAGGCCACATTTCCTCATCCCCAAGCTTCCCGGCTGCCAGGGGCTGGCTCAGGCCACTTACCCACAGTTCACACCTCCCTGCTCCTCTTGGGACTTGAAGTGCAGGGACACGTGGTGCAGGGACCTGGAGTGGATGACACAGGGGTTAGCTCCCTTGGACCACAGCCTCAAGGGGTCCCCAGGAGGCCACCGCCCTCACCCTGAGTGAGGCACAGTCTCTGGATTGGGGTCGGCCAGCATTGTCCCACCTGTTCCTACCCACCAGACACCTGGGACGCATTCTGCTCACCTGAGCTCCACCTTCTGCACCCGGGGGCACAAGTGGAAGACATTGGCCAGCAGCAGGGCACTCGTTGGGGCCAGTTCCGTGTGGCTCAGTCTGAGCAGACAAAGGGTGGCACCCTCAGTGAGTTACAGCCAAGCCAGGCAGTGGACAGGGGCCCTGGGGAGGCAAGGGCGGGGGGGAGGCAGGACTCGGGGCAGGGGCCTTCAAACAATGGGAAGAAGGCAGGGGCACATAGAAGCATGTTGGGGCAGACCTGGGTTTGAGTCTTCCTTCTAGTTACTGGCGTGACCTGGACACCACTTAACCTGAGCCTCAGTTTCCTTCCTGGGAGACGGGTGTCATCCCAGAGCACCTCCTTCCCTCTCGGGGCTGTGAGGACTCATGGGAACGGCCTAGCACGACGCCGGGGCTGGCTGTGCTTCTCTGCGCTTACTCTGGGTTTACCGCCGACGCAGACTCAGCACGCCCTCCTCGCTGAGAGGGAGCAGGACGCTCCTGTCCTGTCTCAGAGCTGCTGCTGAATGCAGCTGACTGTGCGCCCCAGGATGCTGGGAACCCTGGCTTCTACTCCCCACCTCCCCCAAGTCATAGCACCCCAAAAGGCCTCAACATTGGCAAATGTCCTCTGGGGGTAGGGTGCGCCCCTAGTTGGGAACCACTGCCCTAGAGAAAGTGAGCAGGCGCTGTCTTGTTCTCAGAGCCTCCATTTTTCTCACCCCAGCACCTCCCCAGCCTCTGGTCTCCTCAGTTCCATGGCCAAAATTTGCCCGATTCACCTGCCACACACACCACATACACACATACGTGTACACACACACACATCCACGTGCACCACACATGGGCACACACCACACACGTGCATGCACACACAGCACATATACATGTTTACACATGAATGCACACATACATGACCACACACAAACACACGGGTATGCCACACGCACACCACGTACAACGCACGCACGCACACAGGCACACAGGCACACAGGCAAACATACTACACATACCACACACTGCGCACAACATACAAAGACACACCACACACTGTGCACACATGCACACATTGCACATACACACATCGCATCACACATACACACACAGGCACACATACAAACACACACCACACTGCACACTCACATTGCACACAGATACACATTCACACTTGTATGAGCACACGTCACATGCCATGCACAAGCACACATACAACACCACACACACATGTGCACACACCACACCACACGTGTATATCCTTGTACACACACACACCACACGCAGGATTCCCAGCTGCCCTCCTTCTCCGCACTGTCTACAAACTGTCTACAAAGCTGCCCTCCCTCCCTTCACCAGGTGGCACCCAGGCTGAGCTTTGGAAAACACCCCCGTCCCCTGCCCTCCAGGTCCCGTTGGGTGAAAACCCAAACTCCTCTGTGGCTACCTGGCCCTGGGAGACCCGGGCCCGCTCCACCACGCCCCCTCCTCTCTCGGCAGCCAGCCATCGTGCCAGCCTCGGGGCCTCGAGCTTGGGATGTGGTGCCCTGCTCCTCCTGGGGGTCACAGCCCAGCACCTCTCCTCAGCGCCTCCTGGCTGAGTCACCCACCCAGACACTCACTGTCCAGCACTTGGCCTGGGGAATCACCTCGTCACCATCCAAGTGCAATATGGGATCTGACCTTGTTTATTGTTCAGCCAGGGGCCCTAGGGGAATGGTCTGTCTCACAGGCAGGGTGGGGCGGTGGTTAAGACCCTCCAATGCCGCTGCACTGGGGAGAGGGGTGTGGAGAGGGGCAGGTCTCCTCTGTCTACAGGCTCGCTGTGAGTCAGAATCAACGCTACAGCCGGGCTTGGTTTTGCTTGAGTTGCCCAGGAGGACGAGGACCTAGGTGGTCGGCGTGCTCCTCTGCAGGGGCTGCTTTGAGTCCGGCTCACTCAATGGCAGTGGGTTTGGTTTGGGGGTCACGTGTCTCCAGCATCTGGTGAAGACACGTGGGCCGAGTAAACCAAGTTTCAAGCCCGAGCACAAGGTCAGCCTGGCTACCTGGTTTTCAAGTTACATGTGGAGTTCAGGGCTGACACCGTGGGACTTACCTCTCTGGTCTGAGGTTCCCTACCTGTTTGTCTCAACCCTCCATCCCCTTTTTGTGTTCAGGGGAGCCCTGGTGGGCCCTGGCCCTCCTTGAGAGGGCACCCCGGGGTGCCTAGGGTCGGTGTAGGCCCTGCTGGGGGTGCTCACGGCAAGTACATCGCCACCCTCCCCTCCCCAATACATCCCCAGTGTGGGGGAGGTGCCTGGGGCCTCGGTATGGATGTTGCTACCATTGACACTATGATTTTATTTCTGGTTCTATTTTTCATCTCAGCTGCAGCTGCATCCCCCTCCATAACCCCTCTGCACCCCCGAGGAATATTTAAATAAATCCTTTAAGAATTCTAACCAGTCTGAGCCGAAATTAGAAAAGAGAGCTTTCAATACTTTGGGATTCGCGGCTTGCATGCTCCCTTCAGGAAGTTAGAGGGCGACCTGCACAGGGCGGATTGAGTCCCTGCTGAGGGTGGGGATTAGTCCCTTCTGGGCCTTCAAGGTGTCCTGAGTCCTAGCCTTAGGAGCAGTGGCAGGGGGTGGGGGCTGGGAAATATTAAGCCCATTTGTCAGATGAGGAGACTGAGGCTCAGAGGGGGTCAAAGGACTCCTTCCAAGGTTGAGGAACCATTAAACGGATCTGGGAGCCAACCTGTGCCCCCGTGAGGTCAGATAAAACAAGGCAACTGCAGGGGGCAGGGGGCAGACGTCTTACTGCAGCAGGCTCAGCTGGGGCAGTCGGCTGGAGCAGTCCAGGAGGGTCTCTAGGCTCTGGTCACTCAGGGGCTCGCAGGACAACCTGTGAAGAAGCCAGCTGAACGGGATGCTTCACACGAGAGGCGGCCCGAGAGGGCCCTGAGCCAGTGCTGCCCCACACATGCCCTTTAGACTCCGGTCCCAGAGACTCTTGGCAGGGAAAATAGTGGCCTGTGAGTTTGGAAACTGCGGAGCTCAACCGAACACCACGGTTTTCCTTGCTGTGGGAACTCTCAGGTCTTACAGGACACTGCAGTGCAGCGGGGGCAGGTGAGACTTCTGGTTGCCCAGGGAAGCCAGACCAAGCAAGCGCAGACCCCAGGGTGGCCAGGAGACACTGCAGGACACCCCCACCCAGCACCAGGGCCCCTGTGTCTACACACAGTCCCTCCCTGGGGCCAAAGGGGCTTGGGACTACAGCTGCTTTCCCGCTTTGCCCTTCCATGCCCCCCTCACCCTCCTGGCTGCCTTCCTCCAGAACGGTGGCCTCCAGGCCCCGGCTCCCCATCTCCGGGGAGGTAGGAGGAGCAGGGGGCGAAGGCAGCCTGTGCTGGGCGCTGAGAGCCTCAAGGAACCTCTGTCCAGGCAAGGGTTGCTCAGGTCTCCCCTGGTATGCCTGGGGCTGGGATGGTATGTGTGTGTGTGTGTGTGTGTGTGTGTGTGTGGCGCTGGGTACCTGAGGCACAGGCTCAATAGGGGTCTTCATTATTAGGGGTTGAATTGTGTCCACTCCCCAAAATATGTGTTGTAAACGCTAACCTGGGATGTCTGGGGTTCCAATCCCATTTAGGAATGGGCTGCCTCTTCAATGATCATGAGACAGGGGTCGTGACGGCTTTGTCTTAAGTCGGTCTCTTTTGAGAGAGACAAGAGATCTCACCAGCCAGTGGAAAGCAGCAGACACGGGGACTGAGAGATGCCCTAAAGAAGGTCGGGAGGGACAAGCACCTTCCCCAGAGCCGGAACCCCGGGTTCACCCCTGGCCTGTCAGCCACCAGGCACCACATGCCTAACAAGCCACCGGCCCGGGTGTTTCTGACTCAGCACACTGGGGCGCTTAGTCATCCCCAGGCCCTCTCAGTCTCTCTCCCAGCCCCAAACACCCGCTTTGTGGGTTCCTGCTGGGCGAAGGCGGAGTTCACAGACTCTGCCGATGGTTTGAAGCAGGGACCAACCGTTTGCTTACCCATAGGGCATTGCAACAGGACCCTGCCCTGTACGGAGACGCTCTTGATCTCTGAAACTTAATGTGTATTTTTAATCAAGTCGAAAACGAGCCTAACACTGTTCATGAAACCACCAGTTAGGGAGATAGGCATGGTGGTTACACAACCCTGTGCATCTCCTGAACGCCACCGGCTGCCCGATCAAAGATGGTCAGGTGGATTACACGTGGGCTTCACCACAGCAGAGGAGCTGAACTCTGCCCACGGGCCTTGTCACGCGGAGCGCTGGGGGTGTCGTGGCTTTGAGTTAGGCTGCTAACAGCAAGGTTGGCAGATGGAAATCACCAGCTGCCCAAACGGAAAAAGCTTGGGGCTTTCTATTCCGTTGGAAAGTTAGTCTCAGAAGCCCACAGGGGCAGTTCTACCCTGTCCGTAGGGTCAGTATGTGCTGGAGGCGACTCTGAGATTTGGGGGGCTCACTATGAAGCCTTAATAGCAACAATTAATAATAATTATTATAATTAGTATAATTTTCCTTAATGATGAAGGGAAAGTCATGCTGTACTGTTTTGATGCATAAGCTGGCTGCAGAGAAAAATGACAACCCTCTCTGCCCCTGACAGCACCCCTGCCAGACCCCCCGCTGGGCCCCTAAAGAGGGAAGAGGGAGAGAGAGGGAGGTGACATGAAATGCCTTGGAATGACTCTTGGTCCCACTGGGTGCACACAGGGTGCAGGAGCCTACTGCGTGGGTCTCCAGTGAGTCATCTCAGAAGCAGGAGCAGGGAATCTCACAGCCACTAAGAAGGAAGAATCTCCCTTCCTGTGGGAGATTCCCGCGAGGAGAAGGGGAAGGAGCGGGCAGCGGCCACAGGAGACAGAGCGGAGGGCGAAGCTGGGTACAGCTGAAGGCTTAGCTTGCCGAGCGGGAGACCCCTGGGGCGTGCACCAGCACCAACGGGGCTCTGCAATGCTTGCCCAAATGGGGCAGAGGCCAATGGGAGGCACAGGGACAAGATGAGGGCCGTGCGTGGCTGAGAAGAAGCCCTGTGGCAAGAGAACTGCATCCCGAATGTTTTCTGATCCTGACTTGTGGTAACCTGTGGTTGTCCCCAATGTGATGATTGCAGGTGAGAGCTCTGTGTGGCCACCGTCATGGGGTATGGGACCCGGCATCAAAGCAGAGTACCACGGGAGGCCCGGCTGCTGTCAGAATAAGGTAAAGGAGGGCGTGTGTGTGTGTGTGTGTGTGTGTGTGTGTGTGTGTGTGCGCGCGCGTGCGCGCGGCATTTCTGACTTGTGCTGCACAGGAATCCGCCTGGGGCCGGTGTGGACTCTCCTTCCCTCCGTGTAGCCGGAGGAGTGGACAGGTGGCCTCCGCACCAGGCCTTCAACCTGTGCTCAACCAGCACAACCTGGCTGGAAGGACCATGGGGATGGGAGTCAACGCAGGAGAGAGAAGCTGGCAGCCCATGGGACACGGTGTCAGGGGACTGGAATCCACTCATCCACGACTGAGCGCAGGTAACATGAGACAGGTCAGGAGACCAGGAGCAGAGGGCCCTGTGGGTGGATGGACTGTGGATTCGAGGAGAAGAGGCCTTTGGGGTGACAGTCTTTTGTCCTGGCGTTCTTTATTTTAAGGACCACAGGACAGGCTGACTGCCCCTCTTGTAAGCAAGGATGCTGAGGTCCAGGGAGTTAAAAGCCACCTGGGGAAGGTCACTTGTGTGGTAGTTACATCATCTGTTGTCAACTTGCGACTTAAGAGCGAAGGGGTGGAGTTTAGCCTGTCAGTCAGTTAACAGCTTGATGACCTCATTTGGAGACACTAAGGAGATACCGTATATACTCGTGTATAAGCCAAGTCTTTCAGCACATTTTAATGCCATTTTTGTAGTAAAATTAGGTGCCTTGGCTGATATTCGGGTTGGCTTCTACTTGAGTATATAAGGTAGATAGAGTATATATACTCATTGGAGGTGGGACACACACTCACTCCTTGCGAGCGATTCCTGCTGACAAAACACAGAGAGCCATGCTAGAGGCCTGGAGCTGAGGGAGCCACGTGGAGACCCCTGCCGGCACGGAGATACCGCCACGGCCACTGGATCCACAAGACTTTCCACCCACTGGCCTGTGATCTTCCTGCATTCAGCATCATTGCATGTGTTGTGTGAGTCTGAAGAAGAATTTAAAGATTGGTTTCGGACATATGGGCTAAAATCAGACTTATGGACTTGAACTGCATTGGGCTGGGATATTTTCTTAATGTATAATTGCTCTTTGAGATAAAGTTCTCTCTTACACCCATATGAGTGTCTATGAATTTGTTTCTCTAGTCAACCCAGACTAACACACTTGGCCTGACCCAGGTGCCCTGGGGGTCAGGGAGTGGGTACCTGCCTAGGAACCAGGTGACTTGAGAGGAGGAGGGGTGTGCTGGGAAGAGCTCTCAGAAATGGAAAGTTCCGGATACAGAGACAGACCAGGTGGGTGCCCGGCTAGGGGTCAGTCTGGGCTCCCTGGTCCATGAGCAGAGGGCCTAGGACGAGGCAGGTGAGGGCCTAGGGAAGGGTCAGGGGACGCCTAGGAGGGTGTGGGGTCTAAAGGGTCTAAAGGGCGGGGCCGGAGAAGGCTCACTGGGCCTCTAGCCAGGGAGTCCTCTCCTGGGACATGGTGCAGATGTCCCCGGACGGTGCCCTCCAGGGCTGTCTGTCACTTACTCAACTTCCAGAGGCCCGGAGCATTTCTTCAAGATGTCGAAGAGGCACATGAGGCTTGAAGGTCCCAGTTGACACTCTCTGAGGCTGAAAGGGGCAGCCGGCAGGGCAGGGGATCGGAGAGGGGCCAAGGCTTCTGCCCAGCCCCCAGCAACTCTTTCCTGTCAGCCTCCCCTCTCACCTGCTCCGTCCCCGCTTGTCTCACCCCAGCAGCCTCACACCCACCAGCGGGGCAATGACCACATAGGCTCCCAGCGGTCCAGTTGTCCGTGTCCATCACTCACCAAGTCCTCCCAGCACAGCCCTGTCCATCAGGACCACTTCACACACAATCCCCGCCCCCCACAATCCATCTCTCTCTCTCCACCGTCTCGGCTTCTAACCACACAGCACCGCCCTGGCCACACTCCTGCTTTACGCCCTCTGTGGCTCCCCAGGACCCTGAGGCTGAGGGCCACTTGTCTTTGCAGGGTCTCACACTGGCCCCTCCAGCCACCCTGTGCTGGTTCCACTGCCCTGGCCCTCTGCACACGCCTGAGGCACTCGGCCCTTCCCCTATGGGGTCACCCGCACTGGCCTCAGCTTGGGCACCCCTTCGGCGGTGAGGGGATTGAGGGCATCCCTAGAGAGGGCAGAGCCCCGCGGGGGTCCAGAGGAGGGGACTCTGAGGCCCCACAGCAGGTCTCCAGCCCAGGCAGCTTGCCTCCTCTCTACAGGACTTGGGGTCGGAGGCTGGTCCACTTCTTCTACAAGACAGGTGTTCTTCAAAGGCAGGAGGCAAGCCCATGGGGTAGCGGGCTGCCCTGAGGTCTTCAGGAAACGAGGGAGACCTCTCTCTAATGCTGGGGTCTGTCTCTGAACAGCCCCCAAAGGGCCTACCCCTGCCACCCACACACACACACCTCACCCCTTCTTCGTGGCTCCCTTCGCTCTAACTCTCTAGTTCCCTCAACCCCTGGCCCTGATCTCCAGGCCCCCACCCCCAAAGACAGCACAGATCTAAAGGGAAGGCACTGGTTCCTAACCCTTGACCCCTGACCCTCATGGCGGTTACCCACAAAAGAGTGGTGGAGACTGTACCGAAAGGTCCTGGGACTGCATGGCTGGCAGAGCCCTAAGATCTGCGCTCTGGCTGGGCACTCTGGTACCGGTCCCCCAGGCAAAGTATCCCTGGAATGAGAGAGAACTTTGAAAGGAGCATTCAAACCATCCACACGGGACTCCCACACTCCAGCCTGGTCAGGACTGGAAGGGGCCCTAGAAACATCGGGTCAGGAGGCCTTAGTCGAGCCCCTCAGGGGACAGATGGGACATGCAGGCCCAAAAAAGTGCAGCCACAGAGAAATCAGAGACCGCTCCCTCCTCCTCTCTGACCACCAACTCCACTGGACATTAGGTGACCTCCACCTCCCTGGGTCTGGATTCCTCTGGCTTCCAGAACCCACAGAGGCCTCAGACACAGAGCCCCAGCCCTGGAAACCAGACCACGGCAGCCTTGGGCCCACGTGGCTTCAGGCAGCCTGGAGTAGCAATGCTCCCCCACCGCTCATCCCCGACACACTGGTCAGCCTGCACTGCAGACCGGGAGGGAATAAGGACACCAGGGGGCCTGGTGGCATCGTGGTTACCCGCTGGGCTGCTAGCTGCAAGGTCAGCAGTTTGGAACCGCCGTTGGCTTCGGGAGAAAAATAGGGCTTTAAGTGCCCAGCCCACTAGGGGACAGGAGGGTGCCCGAAGAGTGTGCCCGGTGAGAAAGGGCAGTGATTCCAATGAGGGCTGAGGCTGGTAGCCCGGCTCCCTGCCACCCTCTCTGCTGCCATCGCCCCATCCTCTCCCCCTCCCTCCCCGCTTCACTGCCTTCTTCCCAGAAAGAAGGGTGACTCATTTTAGTGGTCAGGCCTGGGCTAACAATGGTCCGCAGGGACATGGGCGGGAAGGGGAGAAGAGCCCACCCCCTGGAGTGCTCCCTCCTCACCTGGGCCTGCTGTCCCCTCTCAGGAGGAAACGCTGGCTCGTTAAGCTGCAAGCAGAGAGCAGAGAGGATACAGCAGTCTGAGAAAGGATCTCAGGGCTTACTGGCCAGACTGGGACAGGAGACCACCAGGAGGTGGCCCACTCTCCCAGCAAGGATGACCATTAATATGTTCAATAACAGCTACCATGACCAAGGCATGTACAAAGCACACCTCCACCGTGATCTCATTTGGTTTTACACTGAAATATTCTTAACTCCATTTTACAGATGAAGACATTGAGGAACAGAGAGGTCCGGTGCCCTGCCTGTCCAAGGCTGGCCAGTCTGCTAGGCCCCTCCCACCCTTGGGGGAGGGGAGCAATGGGCAGACCTCCCCTGAAACCATGGCTGATATCCACCAGGTGGACTGGGGCTGCCTGAAGGGGTGACGGCTTCTTTCTCTAGTCTCATCACCTCCTGGGACCTACAATGAAGTGGGTCCCTAAGCACCCAATGGCCAACCGGGACATCCCAATTTCTCCAGAGAACAAGGGAGAGGTGATGAATCATGCCCCATGGCGAATCTGGAGAAAGTAGTATACAGTGGCCATATTCATTCATCCACCCCCAGATCCCTCCCTCTACCCACCCACCTACCTACCCACCCGCTCACCCACCTATCCATCCATTTATCTGCCCATCCACACCCAGATCCCTCCCTCCCTCCACCCACCTACCACCCACTTACCTACCCACACACCACGCATCCATCCATTTATCCATCCACCCACCCACCCATTTACCAGATGCCCCTGCATTCTCACTGGACCCAGTACCGTGTGGGGCCTGGGGGTAATGCATGGTGAAAACGATGCGTCTGGGAGCTAACGAGGCACCTATGGGCCACGGCGCACGCCGGTGGGCGGGCACCACACACTCACCTGATGTCCACGTGGAGGACCCACTCCAGAGCAGAGAAGGCCCGGGCCCAAGTGAACGCAGCATCCAGGGACAAGCCGTTCCTGCTGAGGCTGGAGAGTCATAAGCAGCGACGCTGAGGGCCACCTCTGGGGACTCAAAGGCGTCCTCTTTGTGGTGAGAGCCCGGGGCCGGGGGCTGCTCCGACTCCACACGGAGGAGCGCCCTGACCCGCCTCCCCCCCCCCACCAGGTGGTCAGAGTGCCTCTTCCAACTCACTGTACAGTCGGGGAAACTGAGACCCAGAGAGAGGCAGGGTCTTGTCCAAAGCTGGAATCAGAACCCAGCAGTGCCCTGGGTCTGAGGTCAATCTGGTGAGTGATTTTGCCCATTTCCTGACCTGTTAGAGCAGGGGCGAGGCTCTGTGAGAACGGGGGACCCACCTGTCCATCAGAAAGCAGGAGGACTACTTTCCCTGTGCGTTGTGGTCTCCCTCTGGCGTTCCGTTTTTTAATAGTATGTATGTTTAAATTGTACACTGGGTCATGTTGACGTGGCAGATTCTCCGGTGTTTTTATGTCCTCTGTAGTGCCCCATCCTGCAGGCCTGGGGTTACTCGCAGGGTAAGGTCAGACCCAAGACTCCGTGCTAGAGCACATGCCTCTGGCCCAGATCCACATGTACCCAGAGCCCCACGGCAGCTGTGGTCTGTGAGGCAGGCAGGGGGCAGATCTTGTGCTAGAGGACAGTGGAGCCCTGGGCACATGCCCGTCCCATTGTCCCATCATCTCTTACTCCCCAAACTCAAGACAGAAGGTAACGTCATGCAGAATGCCAAGACTGCAAAACATTCCCAGACATGAGCTCATGACTGACCCTGAGGAGTGACCACCCTAAGCCTGCTGGACTATGGCAGTTACATAATCTGCAGCCAACTTGAGACTATTAAGAGTGAAGGGGTGGAGTTTAGCCTGTCAATCAGGTCGCAGCTTGATGACCTGTTTGGGAGGCGCTATGGAGATAAATAGCTCACTGGAGGAGGGGCATACTCTCTCTCTGCTTCATCTCCCTGTGAGACATTCCTGTTGACAAGCCACATGGAGCTATGCTGATGGCAGCCAGAGCCGTGGAGCTGGAGGAGCCACATGGAGACCCACGCCAGTGCTAAGATGCTTCTACTGCCACTGGATCCATAAGAATTTCCACCCACCGGCCTGTGATCTTACTGCATTTGGCATCATTGCGTGTGTTGTGTGAGTCTGAAGAGGAATTTACAGACTGGTATCGGACATACGGGCTAATATCGGATTTATGGACTTGATCTGGACTGGGCTGAATATTTTCTAAATATCCAATTGCTCTTTTATATATAGCTCTTTCTTATACACATATGAATGTCTACGGATTTGTTTCTCTAGTCAACCCCGCCTAACACGTCTACAATCCAAGACACAGAGGGTGCCTCCCAGCTGCAAAGCTACATGCCTGTCCCAGGAGGGACGGGGGAGCACCAGAGAACCAAGCCCTCGGGAGACATGTGCAGACCCTCACTCCAGATGCACAGGGGCTTCAAAAGGGTCGAGGGAAACTCCACGATCTTTCATTCTTGTTTTTTCCACAACTGTTTAAAGCCTGCTCTGCCCGCTGGTTCGGCTCGGTGTTGAATAACAAGTTAGAATTGGTTGTGGATGTTCAGATGGGGAGAGATGTTGCACAGACATTCTGCAGCTTCATTTCGTCTTGAAAAGGGACCTCAGGCAGAGTGAACACTAGTTCTGAACAGGTGTACCTGTACCTCACCCCTGGTGTCTGCTGCCTTGTGCCCAGGCCCCCTCCACGTGTGACATTAGAACTTTCCATTCCTGTCTGCTTGGCCCCTGTCCCCACAGGGGTTTGCCTACAGGGCTCCAATCTGCATAAGATTTGCCTGCCACTGTGAGCCCTTCCTCCCTCGGGGTGTGGGCCCTGACCTGGAGCAGAGGCCACCTTCATTGTCTCCAAGGGCCCAGTGAGCTGGAAGAGCCCTCCACCCAAGACTGACGCCTGCCCCCCACTCCCTCTGTTTACTTCCCGGGAGCCAGCGGCTCAGGGGAGACTGCCTCGACCCACTGACTAGGTGGCAGAGCCCAGCCTGGGACTCTGTCTCAGTGGGGCTCCTCTGACTTCCACTCCGAAGAACTTGGTGGGTGAGGGGCCAGGGGCACGTGGGGGCTAAGAATACCAGCAGCCTTTGTCTGCTTCGCTGCCGGCAGATTTGGGGGTTCTCAGGGTGTAGGGACACTGCACAATCTGGAGGCCTCCTTTGACCAGGATGGCTTGCACATAGTCTGACTCCAAGTCCGTTCGGTCCAAGGCCCTGCTGTTCTCCCTAGAAGGTGACCTGTGATGTCGGTGGGTATGGTAGTTACATGACTTCATGTCACCTTGAGGTGTAGGGTGGAGTCTAGCCTGTCAATCAGGTCACACCCTGATGGTGTCTCCTTGTGGGCGTGACTTCCTCATAAGGAGGGCTCTGGGAACCTTCCCCTCCCCCTGCCTTCACCTTCCCAGGCAGCCCGGCCAGCCATGCTGAGACCTGGGCAAGCCCTAGAGAGGGGTCCACTGCCATTGGATCCACAACCTTTCACCCACCGGCCTGTGGTCTTCCTGCATTTGCATCATTGCTTGTGGCGTGTGAGTCTGAAGAGGGGCTTATGGACTAGTGTCAGACTTACAGACTCGATTTGGACTGAACTGGGATGTTCTCTTCATATCCAATTACTCCTTGAGATAAAGCTCTCTCTTACACATGTATGAGTGTCAATGAATTTGTTCCTCTAGTCAACCTGGCCTAACACAGTGGGGCGGTGCTGGCCCCCAGGAAGATGATGGTTAAAAGGAGATTTATGGACTTGAGGTGCTATGGCAGCACAGTGGGTTACGCGTTGGGCTGTTAACCACGAGGTCAGCTGTTTGAAACCACCAGCCGCCCCACAGGAGAAAGATGAGGCTTTTTACTCCGATGAAGCGGTACAGTCTCACAAACCCACAGGAGCAGTTCTACCCTGTCCTCTAGGGTCACTGTGAGTTGGAATCCACTCAAAGGCAAGTGAGTTCTGGAGGATGAACTTGCCCGGGCGCGCCCTCCGTGATTGGTCTCAGTCAGTCAGCAACCCTCACTGTAACTTGCCAACGAGAAGAGTTTTCACTGTTGGTTCCCCGTCTTTGAATCCTCAAGCCCTGCGTAGGCTCTGATGGGGGAGCCCTTTGTACATGCCGGGCTGCTCTGTGTTACCCCATTCTTGAATTGCTCAAACCTACTGTGATAGGTAGGTTTATTGCGCCAACCTGCCCAATAGGAACACGTGGGATTGATCAGGTCACAGTTTGATTGGAGGGTCAAGAGATAAATGGCTGGGCAAGGCCCGCCCCTCCCCTCTCCCTCCTGCTCTCTGGTGATTGGGCCAGTGTGAGGCTGCTTTAGCTAGTTCTCTGCCTCAACTTGTGAGCTACACTACCTGTGGGACAGCCAACCCGTGGGTTGTGTCACTAGAGCTTGAGGTTCCTTAGAGACCTGCTTCACCACAATGCTGGTGTGTACATCACTTGAGCTTGAGGCTGGTGAATCCTGTCGCTTTATATTGCTTGAGTTCAATATCCCATCCGGGCCTGCTTTGCTCAGCTCCTGAGCTGCTGACTGTTGGTGACCCGCCCTGCTGTTTGCTGCCTGTGGGCAGACTCTGCCCACATTACCCCCGGGAAGACTCAGCTGTCTGCTTCCTTGACCTTGGACCTGTCAGCCCTGTGAGTTGAAGGACTTCCAGTACATTAACTGTTCCATGGAAGTGAGTTGAAATGAGCCCTCTGTGCTGCTGTGTGGACTAATTAACTGTTATATCCCTTCATGCTCTATAAATCTATCTATCTATCTATCTATCTATCTATCTATCTATCTATCTATCTATCTATCTATCTATCATCATAAGTGTCCTGGTTTTGTTTCTCTAGCGTTTGTTTCTCTAGCGAACTCTGCCTAGCACACCTTCACTAAA